TGGGGACAGACCATGGCATGAGGAATTCTTCCTGCCCACAAAGTCCAGTGCAGCCTTCTGCAAGAGGTGAAATGTTCCTGCAACAGAGCTCAGATGGTGCTGCTTGGGTTCTGGGGAACATTTTTCCAGTGGGATAGGTGAGGGCAAACCAAGAATAAGAAAGCCTGAAGGGCATCTGAGGTGACACAGAGGAGTCTGCTGAAATAACAGCCAGCCAGGGAGCTGGGGTGGCACAACATCACCCCTGGGATACAGAGGGGCTGCACAGCATTTTTCAACTAAAAGCTGAATACTACTGCACTGGGAATCAGTCTTAAAGACTGCTCCACCAGGACAAAAAAAGGGCATGGGGCAGTTTTGTTCACAAACCTCTTATATGAATTTCAATTTACTCTAAGCTTTTCCAGTACCAAAAAGAGTTCAGAGGTATGATGTGGGGTGTCTACAATGTGCAATCCTGCTAAACTCTGTATTTTGACATTCAAAGCCCTTTCTCCTGTGTGAGTGTTTATTTCAAGGAAATGGTCCAAAGAAGGGCACTGATCCACTGATCTCCCCGCTCTCCAAGCTCAGGAACCTATAAAGAGTTGTCTTGTCAAAATTGTGATTAAAGTAAAGAGTTTGGAAGAAGGCCTGCCATAGGAAATGGAAGTGAATTTCTAACCCTTGGGTATCCACAGACTTCTATGAAGAGGACCTAGCTGCAGGGAACATAGCTAAGGCAACATTCAGGCTGACCTGTAATAAAGATTATCTCTTGCTTGGATGTTTTTTTAAAAAGTTTATAAATCAAAAGTAATTTGAAAAAAAAAAAAAAAAAAAAAAAAAAAAAAAAAAAAAAAAAAAAAAAAAAAAAAAANCACCAGTAAAATCACCAAAAGAGACAACTATATCAGACACAGAGAATTAAATCATCTGTTAATAAATTCAGGTTAAAGTTATCACTATTGAAACCACAAATTGCTTTCACAATCCTCTATTATTGGAAACATTTTAAGCTTTATTCTTTTAGCTTTTTAGGCAGTTACTTATCTGGGCTTTGGGAGCCACACAATTAATTGGAAGGGTTTGAACCTGTATCTTGCATCTCCCAGGAGTGTGCCCACAACCATTACTCTGAGGTGGTTTTCTCTTGTTTCCTGCTGTTACTTTTCTAGCTGGTGTGAAATGCTTAAAAAGTCATTGAAAGGGAAAGAAATCACCAGGTGATGAGGACAACTTTATGAGTCTCAAGGATGGGACATGGATCAGCAAGGATACAAAGGATCTAGAAGCCTGTGGAAAGATGAGGCACTCACCTGAAAGCTGAGAACTTTGGATTGTGATTAAACCACAAAACCAAACCAAAAAAAAAGAAAAAAAAAAACAAGGAACAACAAAAAAAACCCAAACCCCCCCAAAACAAACAAACAAACAAAAGAGAACATCAGCACTTCCTTTTACAAAGGGCTTCAAATTTTGCATTTCTCATATTAAAAAAGAAAAAAAGAGGAAAACCTAAAAACTAGATCTTTCTAGTAGAAGCAATAGCATCATGAACAGCAAAATTTCTAAACTGAAAAACTTATAAAGAAGAGCTGAGGGAATTTGGCTTGTTCAGCCTGAAGAATAGACTTAGGGGTGGCTTCATTCAGGTTTGCACCTCCCTAAGGAGGGCAGCAAGGGGAAGTTCTGATCTCCCTCTCTGGGGACCAGCAGAGCACACAAGGAAAGGGTGCATCAGTGGCTGCACCTTCACTGAGAGAGAATTTGGTCACTGGAATGGCCTCCCAGGCACCAAGCCTGTCACAATTCAGGCAGTGTCTGGATGTCTTACTCACATAATTTAATTTTAGGTAGTTCTGTGAGGAACGGGGAGTTGTACTTGATGATCCTAATGGTTCCTTCCTAACTCAAGATATTCTGTGATTTTATGATGCTATCTATGATCTACAGTTTCTTTAAAGTTTTATATAATCCAATAGTTCACTACTTCATGCTACACAATTATGTCTATTAATTGCATTCAACATATTAAGAAGAAGAGTTAAATTATTTCCAGGCCCATGCAGGAAGTGGGTCATTTGTCTTAGGAAATGAACCATTAGATAAGATAGAAAGATCAATGTTTCAGTTCTTCACAATATTGATACAAAACCAAGATTAAGCCATTCCGAAAAATTATCCTGGTTTTAAAAGTTTCTATTGAGCAGAAAGTCTCTGTAGAGATGGGAGAACAGAGAAATGACTGACTATGATCTGGAATTAAAGAATATTACAGACAATACTGTATTATCAGACTATCTTCCCACATGAAGTTTTCCACAGAACAAAATATGAAAACAGATGAGTAACTCCCAACAATACATCAAAAATTGTGATCTAAGTTAATTTAAAGGGTTTTGGTAGCTTTTTAAAAATTCTCTAGCTGTTAATGATAGACAAGGAGAGGCAGAAGGAAATTCAAGAAATGAGGAAGGCCAAATGGTTATTGCAAAGTAAAAAGGAGCTTTATGTAGTACAGACTCAGAAGAGAACAGGACAATGTTATTTTTTCAGAGATCCTACAGAGCAACTAATTGTATTACTGTCATTTAATTTCTTAGGGGGGGGGAAGAAAAAAAGGACATTGAAATGTTAGAAATAAAAAGAAAATCTAACTTAAAAATATTATCATAGATTGCCCTTTACAGTTCAGTTCTCAGGACACAGTAATTTTATTTCCATGAACAAGATACTAGGCAGAAAAGTTATATAAAATATCCAGTTATTAGTCAAAATTCCAAGAGTACAATGAAGACAGACATGGACAGCAGTTTCTGCTTCAATTAAAATTGTGGTAAGAGAACTGGCCTGAAGCTATCTGGCCATAAAAACTTTAGAAAAATTGTTCCCTTTCTTGCCAACTCTAGTGAGCAAAATATCTTCTGGAGAGACTGAGAACAAATAAGGTGCCAACAGGGAAACAAATGGATTTAACAGCATTACAGAGTGACCCATGAATTAAACCTATGCCTCAACTTTTGAGTTACATTTACATAGACTGAAGAATCCTTAACATAGAGACTGCCACGAGGACCAGATGTTTCCTTTTCTTAGTCCACACACAAAAAAAATCAACTGAATCTATTTGGACTGCATGTGTGTTAGGACAACATTCTTCAATTATCAAGAAGGATGAAAGAACTTTTAATATGAGAAGCTGTCGTCTGGATGAAGCTTAGAAGACACCTCTTTATCGAAATCAGATTTTTAAAGACAATTTCAAGTACGGTTACAAATCTCAAGAGAGAGTTTCATAAAGGAACTGTCTTATCCCAAAGTACTGTGACTACAGCTGCCTGCAGCTCTGAAATACCAACTAGTGGAACTTGACTCTTTTCAATGAAAATACCTCAGCACAGCTATATTTCCTGGCTTACACATTGACATGCTCTGGATGAGAATTAGAAATATTTCAAGTGATTATAGTACTCATGCTTTTACTTTTTCAGAAATATACCAGGAGCATTTACCAGTGTTTAGAAGAACCTCTGCACAGATCTGAAGAAAAAATCACCTGAATGTTTCACTATTTTAGCTTGCCTCTTTTATTTTAACCTGTCATTGTATTGTATAAAAATTCAATACTCATGTGATAAACTTTACTTTAAAATATTTCTATTACCTACAATAAGACTGATAACAATTTGTTTTTCCAGTAACAGATATCCATCAGGTACTTTGTTTAGATAGATACATGCATCAAATAACTGTTATATTAAAGAACTAAGCCATCTGTTAGTGGCTGACAACACAACAGAGCCATAATCACAAAATAAAAAATACTGCAAAAAAATGACAGATCTGAATCTATAATGCAAGCACAAGGTCCAGACAAAACTGATAAAGAAGTAAACAGAGCAGCAAGTTCACTAAAATCACACCCTTATTTGGACAGAATAATAGCAAAGCCCTGGCTCCACATGTAGGTCTGTCCGTAAACATCAGCTGGTGGAGGGCTGGATATCCCCAGACAGCCTCTGGAAATGTGTATAAATAAATAAATAAATAAATAAATAAATAAATAAATAAATAAATATATATATATATATATATATATATAAGGCACAAAGTAGAACATTGTCTTGCCTTAGCGATTCCCAGACTCCTGTACACACCAGATTGCTTTCTGCTTTTGAAGGACATAATTTTCCATTGATTAAAATTAATCAGAAAAATATTTACATCATCATTTCATGAAATTGCATATTTTTGGCTCTAAATATGTTTTTTTTCCACAAAATGCTGAACAATCTCAAAACTAGCAAATACTTTTCATGGAAAGTAAAAAGAGAACAGTGTGACACCCTGAAAATGCAGTCTTATGAATAACAATGATACAAATTATGCCAAAGGAATATTTCCAAGTAAGCATCCTTCCCTTTCAGCAGTAATAACATGGTGGGTAATGCTTTTCATGGAAAAATGGTAATTAACCAGCTTTACTTCGTAGTAAAGATATAAAACAAGGTTCACAAAGATACCCAAAAAGTCTAGACAAATTCATTAAAAGGCAGGGAATTCCTCACCCATTAAAATGTGTGCATTAGCATTCAGACAGGGACTCTCATCTGAAGCTTTTGAAGAAGAACCTTTCAACACCTAAAGTGCAGGGCATATATTTGTGCCTAACTGAACTTATTGGAAATCAACTCTTCATGATCTCTTTATATTAAATTTAAATTTTAAAAAAGATCAAACACAAACAGACCACCCCTTACCAAAAAAAAAAAAAAAAAAAAAAAAAAAAAAAAAACACAAAAAAAAAAAAAAAAAAAAAATAAAAAAAAAAAGGCAAAAACACACAAACACACATCCAAACAAACCATCACATCAACTCAATTACATTTCTATGTGTTCTGCAGAAAATGCTGCTACAACAGTGCTCATTGCTGGACAGTTCTGCCCGAGGACAGCAGGGAATGTCACTCACCAAAGGTGCCAACACACTTGTTTGGTGGCACACTGTGGCTGCATACCTGGGTGCATTTGGGTTTCATCTGGCCCACAGCTGGCAAGCCTTCTGCTTGGTCTGTCCTTCCACTTGTGCCAAGATGCACACCAGTCTGCAGAGAAAAATTCATAAGGATTAAATGTGGAGCCCTCTAAAATGCCAACAGTGCTGCTTTAAAACACCTAGCACTAATGGACATCATTGAAACCCAGACCTCCATACAGCTTGCCCAGTTTGTTCCACCTCAAAGTTAACCCACAGAGTTAATTTACAGGAGGCACTGTGTAGTCACTAAGTATTCAGATATTCACAAAAATAATATGCAATTGTTAAGTAGATATGTGATGATCATCTGAAATCTTCCTTCTGCAAAACATTAAAACAGTTTCTTGAAAAAATGGCAGTTCTTGGCAATTATTTTTTTTTTTTTTTTTTGTGGAATGCTTTCTATTTTTTTAACAATGACCGGAAGGTTCTGCTGGTACAAAGCAAATTTTGTAGTGAAACTAAACAAAACAAACCACAAAACTAGCTTCCAAGCACCAACACAAAAATAGCCTCCAATTCCCAACCCCAATGCCAAACAATCAGAGGAGGATTTCAGGGCATTCACTGATTAACCCATTCTGCTGGCTTGGAGCCCAGACTTGGGTGGACACAGCCCTTGGGCACCCCTTGGCACTTTGCTCTCTTCCTGTAGTGAACAAATGTGGAAGCCTCATTTTTTAGCTCCTGCAGAATTGTCCAGCCAACATCAAATTAAGTGTGGTGAACTGTAGTGCTCTCTCTGTTTTTGGAAGGTGCCAACACCCAAATCTATTTAATCTGGTAACGTATGCAAATGAAGAAATTTGAATGGGGCAATCACTAAAATTGTAATAAAAAAAAAGGAAGTAAAGAAAGCACTAGTTTGCTATAATTTAATGGCTATATAGCTGGTTAATCCTTTCAAGCTTACATACATTAACTTCACAATGCTGTCTACTGCACCTTTTCTCTTTTATGAAACCCTAAAACACATGAAATGGACAAGTTTTGTAGGATCTGGCTCAAAACTTTAAGGTTTCCTATTGGTTAGGAAGAAGCACAACCATTGGAATGCAGCAATATATTTCACTTTGTCTTTTTAAACTTAAGCAAACACAACAAGAATAATTAAAGTAACTTTCACAAACAGAATATTTTTTAAACGTTTGATTTTAGCATTTGCATTGAACTACTAAATTTCTCACAGTGCAAATTCATATCTAGCATGCCAAGAAAAGATAACAAAAGCAGCGACAGAAAAATCTTTTACAATATCGCCTCACCTGCAAGCCTGGAGAAGTGTCTTCTGTGAAAATAAAAGAGAAGAAATACTCAATGACTTGTTCTGGGTGCTAAAAAGTGTAGCCCTCAAACTCTTCAGAAAACACCAGTGATGTTCAAATTAGAGCTATTTAGATACTTTTTATTGGTTTGTTTTATATGCAACATACTAGGACCTGAATGGAGAGCACGCCTCTCACATAAGTTGCAAACAGCCATCACTAGTGACATTTTGTTCCCTCCCAACAGTTCTGGTTTCTAAACGTGAGCCTCTGATGAAAGGCTGGCCTCCAGCAGCAATGCTCCAAGCCACGTTGCTGCTTCACAGCCTTCAATTTATATTCCAGTCACGAACATGACACTTCTTTTGTTAGCTTTTGATTGTCATCTTCTGTTTTCAGCATTAATCCCCATAACAAAAATTGTCATTGTGATAGGTGCTGTGGAAATCAGTAAGATTAATAAGTAGTTGGTATAATATCTAAATACTCTCCCCTATCAAGATGAGTATGTTGCTGAATTTGTGCTATGTGGAACAGCTGACAGTAGAAATAGTTATAATAGATCACTTTGACAACTTTAGATTTACATAATGGATTCATCCACTTTGCAGATTGGGTTTGTGCACATTCTCTCAGCATGCAAAACATGCCTATTACCTTTAAAACATTTGCTTTGAGTGGTATATTCTGCTACATAAATTGTATTTCTTTTGCAGTCTGTAGACTTAAATATGTATTTTAAGAGACATGGATTAGTACCTTTATATGTTATGTGCAAACAAAGTAAATTAATATTCCTGCACTAAAGTTCATGCACCTCTTTAGTGATTATATCACGTTTTCATTTAATTCACACGAGTTGACATTTTTCTATTTTAAATTCCTTTATCCCTTTTTCAGATTGAGAAAACATAATTAGCAGCAAATAAAGACACTGCAGAAACTGTGCCTGGAAAACTTATACCTTTTCCAGTTTGGTCACCACACATCAGAAATATATTTATTACCAAAAAATAATCAAGGATTCATTATAGTTCTAGTCCAATTCCACAAATACAAAGAACAAAAGCAGCAGAAGAGGCTGAAAAGGGCCCTGTATCCAATGGAAGATAATCCTCTCTACAAACATGGATTTTGGGGAGGAGGCCACATGGTCTTCTGAGGTCTCCTCATCTGGGAGAACTTTTGGAACAAGCAGTGGCCTGGGCACATTCTGCTCAGTGATCAGACCAAGAGATATTCAATACCACGAAAATTCTGGGTATGTGTGCTGTGTGACTTTGGAAAGAGGCTTGCACATCTTCCCAGCAGGACACACAGCCCTGAAGAAATATAATTTCAGAAATTTTGGGGTCTTAAAAGAATATTTCTGCTTTGCCATCACACAAACTGGTTCCCAGCATAGGGACAGCCTGAAAAGTCCCTCACTCAAGGGTTTGTACTCCTAATCCCCAAGCCAGTGGTCTTCACCCCTGCAGGATGGGCAGCTCTGGAACTCTCTGAGGTCCAAGTCCATGGGATTTCAGCATACAGCTCCAAAAGAGCTCAATGAGCCTTTGGACCACCTCTCACATCCTCTTACAAATGTCTCAGAGAATTGTTTTTTGTCAGATTTGCTGTAGTTACAGGACACAGGGAATGTAGCTTGCTGCACACTCTGGACACCTGAGCATTAGCCTCTGACAAAATTATTTGAATTTTAATCTATGGGAAGTTCCAAAAGCGAAATTTTCTGTGAACTTCAAATCCTTCTTTTTTGGGTAGGAATAATATTGTGTCATTTATTACACACGAATATCACCAAAAAAATTAATTTCTTTACTTATACTACTATCTTAGACATCTATTTCTGAAAAGACAAATGCTATTTTTTACTTGGGAATATATAAGCACCTCACTACATGTTTTTTTCCCATCAGTACTTAAAAAAGGTGGAAAAACACTAACAATTATATTTCCCAAGTTAACAAGTTACTCAAGGCAAAATAGGCAGGATGTCACAAAGCAAGAAACTGAAGACAGGCAGTTTGAAGTCAAATTGTGTAGATTGAGACACTTAGAATCTATCATATCACCTTAAATATTATGCTGAATTATGAGCATGAGATCATGTATGAGCTGTTGTTGCTTTTCATAGTTTGAAGAATGTGAATAATTTGCAAATTAACAGATGCACTTTAAGATAATTAGAGCCTCAGATAACCTTACTTTAAATGAAATAACACTTTTTTTTTTTTTATTTTGCATGGTGGAATATATTGCCATCATTGGACTAAAACACAAGCAATGTCTGCCAGCAATAAGTGTAGCTAATGGCTCTAAAGAGTTGTTGTAATTTATTTGATTTTATAAAGTGACTTTAAATAAAATAAAACCTGCAATTATCCATTTTGTTGTTCACTTATATCTTTTTTAAAAATGGTGTAAAACATAATAAATGTTCATACAAGTTCTCAGATGCCAAGGTAAATGTTGCACTTATATATGGAATACATATATAGTGTATATATGGAATGGTATGGAATATATAAGTCTATATATGGAAATATATGTATGCATTTTTAGTTGAGTATTAATAGGAAGTCCACATTTTTCTTACCCAATTATTGGATATAATACTTTTCAACATCCAGGTAGCCTTACATTTGAAGTAATCTCGATTTTGCTTGATTCTGCTTGGGTGCTATTAATGAAATAAATGCTTCTTAATAACCATTTCAGGGTGATTCTATGGGACTGCATGGCTGTATAAGAAAAAATAACCATGTACATTAAAAATAATTAAAAATGCAAATGGACAACAAATTTGGCAGCACATTCTCTGGCCTCTCAAAAATGCTAAGGGAATGGCTGTGATGTTGAATACAAATCACCAGTGAGGCCCTTTTTTATTCATCCTGCAATTTCTTATAACTGGGATGTACATTTTTCATGCCTAATGTTTTCAGGTAATTAAGCAGCCTCCAAACACCTACCTGTTGGCATATTTCCCCAGTAGGAAGGGGGATGTTTGGACTGATGGTGTTTTGTCTTCCCAAAGACAAAAACCATGGAGTCCAGCATTCCTGGGGATGGCTGAGCACCTTCCAGCCCATAGGAAGTGGTGAGGGAACTCCTTGTTGTGTTTTTGCTTTGCCTTTGAGATAAAGTGTCGTTATCTCAAGCCATGAGTTCTCTCACTTTTGCCCTCCCAGTTTTCTCCCCGATCCTGCTGGCTGGGGAGTGAGCGAGCAACTGCGTGGGTCTTGGCTGCTGGCTGGGATTAAATCACAACACCTACAAAGTGTGATTCTTTGAGTGGTGGGAAGAGTAACTACAGCAACTAACAAGACATGAGCCTGCAGAAGGCAAAAGAGGGCTGGCTGCTCCTCCACTGTGTTAAAATTTCTTATCACATCAAAGAGCAAGAACAAAATGGGAAGAGAAAAGATGTGTAGGGAGAATCAAGGCATGAGCTGCAAAGTAATCAAACCACTTAAGTGAGAAGTAAGTGATGAGGATGTTTTAGGAAAGTGACATTTCTGAATCCCATCTTCCATCTAGACCTTACACTTTTATATCCAGATTACTGCTCACAGCAAGCTGTCTCAGCTCCTGGGCTTTCCCTTTGTCTCTGCTATGATTAATACGACAGATATTTCTTCTAGCTGTTCCTATTCTTTGCTGTGCTGTCTCTCTCATGCACTTGCTGTTTCTCTTTCTGCCTCTCATTATTTGCTTAGGCTTTCAAGCCCTCTGTGACAGCATTCACAGAACAAAAGGTTGCCATTACATTTATCCCTATTTATCCTCCTTTGATGTT